AGGCCTGGACCAGATTCTACTTATGAGGGAAAGGGAGACTGTATACATTACAGGGTTTGTTTGTTTTTTTTAAAAAAAAAAAAAGATTTATTTATTGATGCATACCGAACTAGGGTACAGGCCAGAGGTGCAAGGGTGGTGAGAGGATTCATCAGAGACAGAGTGGGAAGCAGAACAGGGAGGTTGATGAAGCACACTCTTAGGGAAGTAGTGGGCGAGACAGGGGTGGTCTGTTGTACCATGTGGGTCACCTCCGGGACTGGGATTGAGCTCTCTCTGAAGCTGCTATAGCTATTTCTAAAGCTGTGCTTTAACCCGTTGTGCCACTAGGGAGGGCCCACATTACAGGATCTTAACCAAACCTGGAGAAGCCATCTAAAGGAAGTGTTGGCATTCCTTCCTTTCTATAGGCATAAGGAAGTGTGCCAACCAGAGAAGGGTGGTATGCCAGCCAGAGAAGAGGGTTATGCCAGCTAGGGGAGGGAGGGACTTGTGTTTAAATTCTGTAAGGACTAGGAGTAAGGAGATGTGATCATGGTTTCTCTCCCCAGCCTGCCCTTCACCCATGTTAAAGAATGGCTGAGGCAACAAAGTTGAAGATGAACCAGAAGTTTACATTAAAATCACATGGGAAAACACTTCAAAGCACTGATCTCCAACTCCCACCCTCCCATACCCTGATTTAATTGATCTGGAAATCAAGGTCTCTAATTCCAACCTCGTGGTGGATGGTTAATGAGTTCAAAGAAGCTCAGGAATGCCTGAAGATGTTGGACACATGTCTGGGCTGAGTCAATTTCCATGTGCATGACGTCAAACAGGGCAAGGAGTACAGAGAACCCAGTGCATCTGCATGGCGGACAGGTGGGCATTTGTATGACCCAGGGAAAGGGGAAGTTAGGAAATGCATTTAGGCCATCTGTCCTGAACAGGATCAAGCTCATTTATCAGTTTCAATAATCAGTGGAAATCAGGAGCCGCCCCCCTCCCAACACATGTCCAGGTTACCTAGGTCCATTCATCAGTCACACTGAAGAACAATCATGGACCAAGAGGGTCCCAACACCCAACCCAGTAGGCCAGGTGATATGGACAAACTCCATGGAGTTTCCATGAGCAAGGAAATGCCCACTGGTCCAGCCAATTAGCAAGAGACAAAATGCAGAGAAATCAAACATCCAAGCCCCACTCCTTGCTCACTGTACCCATATAAACACCAACTGCTCACTTCCCAGCAACCCACTAAGGACCCTTCTTCACTTGAAGAGCCTTCCAGTCCTTCTTGCTTACCAACTCCTGTCCTTACTCTTATCTTTCAATGTCTCCTGCATTTCTGAACTTTGGTATCAATGTTGAATTCTTTCCTCACTGAAGACAAGAACCTAGAAAGAGCCTGCCTGGAGTCCTCAGACTCCAGGCCTTCTCCCAAAAACCCCGAATCAGCAGCACCAGACTCAGCGAAGGCTGTGGAGATCCATTTTTAGATGGTGTTAACTTGCTGCATGCCTAGGAGACGTGTGTTTGAAGTCTGGGTGACGTAAAGTGCCTAAAAGTGGATCTTATAAAGGAACGTGGGAAGGAAGCCCCAGAAGAGCTCAAGCTAATTTAAGTGGAGACTCTACTAAATGGGGGGGGAAGCTCCCTAATTTTTTTAGTGTCTATTAAAAACACAATCATACAGAATGTTCTGAACTCTATGTGATAAGACAACCCATATGACTTAATGTGACTAGTAAGGGGGAAAATGGTGAGTGAATGGAGAAGCTGGGAGTTTAGGGTATGGGTGGGGCTCTTTGGATGATGCTCCCACTCTGTGCTTGGACTCTGTCTAGTCAACAAGCACAGTGTGCCCCTACTCACACACTCCCAATACTCAGACATCAGCTGTGTGGGTTTAACACACCAAGCAAGTCTAACACTATCTACTTAGAAGTAGCACAGATCCCACAAGTTAAGGTTCAGTCCCCCAGGCCTGCCCCCTCTTCAGATATCCATCAGAGAGTGGTAAGTCCCCAGGTTACCTACCTGCTGTCTGATTTGGCTACAGATTGGACAACACCCTCCTTGGTGTCAATTGTTTGCTTGAACAGGTCTCAAAACTCAGGGAAACACCAGCTCATTATATAATAGACTATGATAAAGGGATAGAAAACACATAGGGGAAGGTCTGGGAAAGTCCCAAGAACCTGAGTTTCTGTTCCTGTGGAGTTGGGTGCATCACCTCCTTGGTACAGGGATGGCCTCACCACCCAGAAGTTGGGGAGTTTTATGGAGGCTTCATCATGCAGAAAAGACCATTCATGAACTCCATCTGCAGCCACTCTCCCCTTTCTAGAGGATGAGGGCTGAGACTGAGAGTCCCCAGCTTCTAATCATAGCTCCAACATTTTGGGGGACCAGCCCCCATCCTGAAGCCATTGAATCACCCACTCAGATTTGCCTCATTGGGACAAAAGGCACTCCTCTCACCCAGGAAATTCTAAGGGACTGAAGAGCTCTATGTCAGGAACCAGGTCAAATATGTACTATTAGAACAAAAGATGTTCCTAGAGCTTATAAAACTTGGGAAACTACAAAGGTTTAGGAGCTTTATTCTGGGAACCTGGTGCAGAGACCAGTATCTGTATTTCATATTCTTCCACAGGCACAGAGACTGTTGTGAGTTTCCATGTGAGGATTCTAATGAAAATATTCTGGAAATACCTCCCCCATACCCCTTGCCTTTCTTACTGCTAGTGTTTATAAAGCAAACAAGCAGGGGACTCCTATCTCCGGGAGCAGCTGCTTTCCTATCATCACCGAAGAGAGAAAATGGGGTATAGAGCAGGGTGAGAGGTGCCTGCAGGGGACCTGGAGTCTGGGGTCAAGGATCTGTCTCCAACTGGATATGAAGTTGCTTGAAAGTCCCTCTCCTTTGAGGAGAAAACCATAAACTGATGCTGACTGAACCCCACTTATTCAGAAACAGCACGTACTCAAGCAAGGGGTCCTCAAACAGTCGCATGTGTTTTGGGTGAGGAATCCTGGCCAAATCCACCAGAGAGAAACCTGGGCATGCTCTCCTGGAGAAGGGATTGATTCCATTCAGAGGCAATGAGAGCTGGGACTGCTTGTACCCATTTCTGAGTCTCGCACATGCAGCCCGGCACAGCTGCCCTTCCGCCTCCAGTACTGACTGTCCCCAGCGTGGCTGGTTGCCTCCCATTGGGCCCCAGTGCACGTGACCATCATCCCAAGAACTGGTGCCTCAAGCCCTTAACAGTCTACAAACACATTCATATACAATATCTTTTCAAACAATAATACCAGAAATCATTGCTATTATTCCATACAGAGGCCAAGGAGCAGAAAGGAAAAGCAACTTGACCAACCAGCTAAAAGTAGAGCAAAGCTTCTGACTCTCAGCCCCAGGCCCTTAGCATGACAATGGTAAGTGCACCCCAGCTGCTCAGCACTGTCTCACCTGCATGCACTCTGATGTCCGGAGAAGTGCTTTTCCAAATACAAAAGGGTACTCCAGGGGAGAATCTGCACTGCTCATCTAGGCTGAGCCTTTACCTCCAGGTCACTAAGAAGGACAACGTGGAATTTGACACGCGAAATAGCCAAATGCGGTGGGGGGAGGGGCGTATCATTGCTGACATTCAGAGCACAGCTTTTAGAGAAGCATCCATTGAGTTTCAGACTTATTAGCTGTTATTTCCTTAATCAACGCATTTGACTTCTTTAAATCTTACTACCCTTATGGTAAAAAAAGATACACAAAGCCCTATAAAGATTCAATCAAATACGTATGAAGAGCTCAGAGGATAGAGCTTGGGGTATGAAAAGTGCTTGGATGTTAGCTTTTACTCTTCTCACACACACACACACACACACACACACACACACAATCAAATAAAACCAGAGGTTTTTAGCTCTTGAAGCGCCATCAGTATCTTCTCTGGTGGATGACAAATGTCCTTGTGGTGACTTGTTAATTGAACTGCCTCTGTGATCTCAGCCATGGAACGAACACGACGGTGGAGGAATGGGGTGGAAAGGCCACTGCATTAGCAGGAACGAGAGCTCGGTTTCATTTTCAGCTTCACTACTGCCAGAGCCCTTCCATCACGCCCGACATCTGTGAAATGTGGGGCTCAGACCTGCTCCCAAAGCCTCTCTCGAGGGCACTCACTCCGTGTGCCTTTAGGATGCAGAAGGCAAGCAGTCGGCAAAATGGTGCTGAACCCTATGGCTTCACCAGTGTGAACTCCCGCCTCAAATGGCTGGCTTGGGGCTTCCAGCCATTTGGAAAAATTCTCTTTCTCCTTCGATGGGGCTCTGGAGCCTCAGCCTGGACACAAAGGTCCAAACTGTCTCAAGTATTTGATAACAAAGGAAAAGGCACCTCAAGCCAGCAAGGAGGGGAAGAAGCGGGGCAGCTGTGTTTCATTGTCACCAACTTAAAAATGCCCTATCCACCCCGCTCTCCGCCCAGCCACCCCAAACCTCAGGGTGAAGCCAACCCGTAGTCAAAGTTGCCCTTCTCACGGTTTAACCAGTAATTCCCCTGCCAAAACACTGAAAATACAAAATGTTGTTCCCTCCAAATCTAGCTCCACCACCGAATACCTGAGAACCTAACTCCCTGTTCATGTCTCCATCCCAAACCAACTCTGCGATCGGCCTGTCTTGCCTGCCAACAGTTTCAACTCTGCTATGGCTGTTTATTGTATGTTACAGCTGCTAGGATTTCGTTTATTTTGTTTCAGTCTTCTTTGGTCATCAGTGCTCTTTATCCTTCCCGGCATAACATAAATCCAGACCCCGAAAACATGACATATTGAGTTTCTCAAGTCTAGGGTAGCTCCAGCCCCTTCTCTTCCTTGGCTGATTTGAAACAACCTCCTGCCTTCTTTGTAAAACTTTCCTTAAGACACCAGGAGAAGTAGATTTCAGCGCTTTCATTTTCGAAAAGGAAAAAATAATAATAAAGGAAAAAACACCACATAACTTACGTTCATCCATCCAGGTGTGGCCAAATTTGGAAAGAAGAAAACGGAGCTATAATCCACTGTGTTCCCCCAATCCCAAAAGAAGAATTTGTTGTGCAATGCTTCTTTTTCCACTTTGCCGGTGAAGGAGGCTGGTGGTAGGCATACATCCACAGGCTGATGCAAGATGCCTTTGAGAGAAACCTCACATTCTGAGGATTCCTGGAAGAGCGCCAGGGATCCCAGCATCCAATATATTACACATTTGGTTTCAATTAGGAAGGGGGTTGGGAGGGAAGAAGGAAAGTCACCAATCAGAGCTGTTTTCTGTTTAGAGACTATTTCTTTTGACCCAAGGGACTACGGGCAAAGCTATAATTTACAGCAAAACCCATTCATAGAAGAAAAAATATGTATAACCATAGGACGGACTTAAAGACACAGCTCCCTTCCGCCTTCTCCCCACCGCAGCCACCCGATTACTCCCCCTTCACCTAAAATGTGGTCCCCACCCTGTAACCCCCCCCACCTCATTTTTCTTACTTGAGCTGAAGCTACAAGCACTACTTAAGGTTTGGAGTCTCTTCTAATCAAAGGTTCCAGGACAGTTGGGTCGTACACATGGAGTTGATCTTTCACATTTCATCCATGAGAGCCCAGAGTCGAGTCCTCCCCTGAAAAGATTTTATTTAATCCCTTCCACCCACTGGCTCCCCAACCAAAAAAAAAAAAAGACTGGACAATTCCAGAATTCCTATGTTTTTCCACTCAATTCCCAGTTGGTTGCTGCCTCTAAGGGTCTGTCCTGGATTCGTGCTGCTAAATGAAAACACAAGATTTTACAAGGACTTTCTAAATTATTTTGAAACTTTTTTTTCTTTTTCCCTCTTTTTTTCCCCTTCTTTGTGGTCACTGCCAGAGATCATCTGAAAGGGGTGTAGGCGACAGGGAAGAACCCTTCTTCAGCTATGTAAATGATAACTAATAGATCCCTTCATCTATCAAGGCTTCCTGGCTTTAACCCTTTGAAGCCTGGATCATTCCTGGCCAAGCACAGGCTGAGGCTGCCTGGGAGGTCCTGAGTCCTGTGAGTATAGGGGATGCAGGCAAGCAGAGGCCCAAGGTCAGGAGGTCTGTGGAGGATGGTAGATGGCAAAAGAGAGATCAAGAGGACTCAGCTGACCTCTGAGAGATGCCTTCCTTGTGAAGAGCTCCCTTGGTCTGAGCTCTTAAGCCATCACAGTTTTTCTCTGCTTGTACT